TTAAAATAATAATAATAATAATGCTTACTGAGTGGATATTCTGTGCTTTCCCCTGGTGCTAATCACTTTCGAGATAACTAGAAGTTTGCAGGTTTGAACCCACCAGTGGCTCGACAGGGGAAAAATGGGGCTGTCTGCTCTCATCAAGATTTCAGCCTTCGAAACCTTATGAGATCGTTTCCTTGCACTCTGTCCTGTCGGGTTGCTAAGAGTCAGATATGATTTGACAGTAATGAGTGGATAACCCATATTCCTCTAATCCTCACAAGGAAATGCCGATCCAGAACGTTAAAGTAATTTACCTAATGTCACATGCTAGTAAGTGCCGGGGCAGGATTTGAACTCAGGCTATTAGAGTCTAGCAAATTGTCCTCAACTTGATAATCCTCCCTCTCTATGTGGAGGTGGCAGATCCATGAACATGAATATGCACACATATGAAAGCATCTATATCACGATCTGAGTGATAAGAACATTGTGCGCAATAATCTATGCAATATGAAAAGAATGAAATGAAAAGAAAGCCCTAATGTCAGCAGGCATTCCACGAGTATGGAGAGAGCAAGAGAAGGCAGTGAGCTGGACGAGGAAAAGAGAGCGCCCACTGCAGGAGAGAAGGAAAGAGGTGAAACCAGGTCACCTAGCGAGTGACACTGGCCGGCAGGAGTGAGTGTCTTCGAGTGACACTGGCCAGCAGGAGTGAGTGTGTTGAGTGTGTTCGAGTGACATTGGCCCACAGGAGTGAGTATGTTCGAACAGGCGGAAGGCAGTGGCAATGAAGCCTAGGAAAAAAGAGGAGTCATAACTTATTTTTTACCAAAGTGGTAATGACTTTAACCAACAATTTTAGATAAGTTGATAACATTTTAAGGTTTGGAAGGGGGACATAAATGTGACAACAATTAGAAAAATGTTGACTAATAATAAAGCGAGAACTGTAGCATCCAATATTAAAATACAATGTAATATGCCAAGGATAAAAATAATATGATACTGGAATAGGATTTTTTTCCCCACTTGCCGCACGCAGATCATGGGTCCTGGTCTTCCCATAAGTGTCAGGGTAGAACTGTCTTCTATAGAGGTCTCAATGGATGGTTTTGGGGGATGCAGATTCCATAAATAACCAACTCGCTACCATCGAGTTAATGCTGACTCATATACAATTTCAAAGCAGTTAGGAAAAAAACTAATCTGTATACAGTGGTAGAATAACTGTCTAATCATTTGACAAGATGATTATATCAACACATCACAGCTAATTACAAAATAAAATTTAGTCAGATATAAGTAGTAAAATGTTAATACATAAAATTATTAAAAGACCAGATGAGAATTTTTATAATCTTGGGGAGGGAAAGAGTTTTGTAGCAAGAACACAAAAAGTCAAAGCAATGACTTTTTATGACACAAAAATCTTAATACATCTTTACACAAATAACTAAGGCTGTGAACACTTAAAACGAAAAACCGATAGTTATACGTTATGTAACCAGTAAAGGGTTAATGAGGAAATGGCATGAGCATCGTATCTGACCTTCTTTGGCTACACCAGGGGAAGGGAGAATCCATCTCCACCGTAGCCCAAGAACCACTGCCACAAGGTTGATGTCAGACATATCTCCACCCTCCATCTTTATCCATTCTGACAGTAATGGTCCTTCCCACAGTCCACTACTTTTCTGCTGGGATCAATATGGTCAACATGGCTACATGAACTTACAAAGAACACTCACAATTATGGGGGGTTATTATGGAAGTCAAGTCACAAGTCAAGATCCAGACACACTAAAGATGGAGTTCATTTGTCCTCAGCAGTGCCTCTTCTCAGCCATGCTGGGGGCATGTCTCTCTCGGGTCATTCGTCTCCCAACCACGTGGTACCTTAGCCTCGGACCGCCTCAGGCAAGTATTTAGATAACGGCTCCCCAAAAGTGTCCCCACTCCACAAGTCAGCCTCCCGCCTGGATGCACTCAGCTTTACTCATCCTGTGAGCAGTGGGTGCCACCACTCTCTTCCCGGGTCTCTGTGCTGGTACCTCCGATACCTGTGCTGCCACTGCCACTTCACACAGGAAACACACACCACTGCCACCACCATGTCACTCTTCTTTCTTGGTGGTTGTGAGATTCTCAGTTTCTGCGTCTGAAATGACTTACTTTATACCCAATGAAAACTCACCCATAGCCGAGTTAAATTCCACTACACCTTATTTGCAGCTCCTACCCAGTCATTCATCGTAATCCTATAAGACAGGGTGGAGCTTCCCCTGGGCGCTTCCAGGAATGTAACCGTTTACGGCAGTAGGAAGCCTCTTCTTTTTCCCAAGGAGTGACTGGTGGATTCGAACAGCTGACCTGGTGAATTTCAGCCCAGCGTGTCCCACTATGCAATCAACTCAATGGCAATGAGTTTGGTTTGGGGTTTTTTAATTAATCATTTGAATTACAAAGCTAGGAGAGCCATAACAAGGAATGATACCTTACTGCTGTTGAGACCCTGCTGACAAAGAATTCTGGTAGATAATAGGAAATAAAAGATAGATGCATTATAATGGGAGAAGAACATAAGTGAATTTAAAAGAAATGAAGATAAATAGGAGATAAACAGAACATCACAGTGGTTACTTTGACCACAGAGGATTGCAAAATTGAACAATTGGGTAGGAAATGTTAAAAATCAGTTAAGTGAGAAGAAAGAACCATCACTGTGGGGGAGCGTGAGAGAAAGGAGACGTTTCTACACTTCCAATAGAAGCCAGGAATTGCAGACACTCTTGGGGGAAATTTAGCAATAGTTGCCTAAAGCTTATACATTTTCCCCTAAGTCTCTATCCTACAGAAATAACCCGAACGGTTTTTAAGAGATATATAGGAATTATTTATAGGGAAGATAGTTAGACACAACCTAAATACTTAGCTATAGACTACAAAACTGGAATTTGGTATGAACGTTGAAAAAAAGTGCTATTTTATCAGTGCTGTTCAGATTGAGTTACTCCAGCTCCCAGAAGGCGTGTGTGTGTGTGTGTGTGTGTGTGTGTGTGTGTGTGTGTGTGTGTGTGAGAGAGAGAGAGAGAGAGAGAGAGAGACATTGATTCAGGGTAGTGCCACCCACCTGAGCTCCGGGGTTCACTGTACATTTCTATACTGTGTTCAACATAAAATTATATTTGAAGGAAGGAGCCTACAGATTTTTTTGAAAAAATGATCATATTTGTTCAGAAAGGAAAGTAGGCTGCAAAGTAGTATGTTTATTATAATTGAGCCCATTTATTCTTTGTCATCTAGAGATACATGGATAGGTATCCAACATTTTCAACTAGCTATTTCTGAGTGGGGGCACTATGAATTCTGTTTCTTTTCTCTGTTTTTGTTTGTTTATTTGTATTCTGTGATATTTCTGTGATCATGATCTGTTACTGAATGAGTAAACGAAACACAGGCATATCGTAGAAAGCGGGATGGCAAAGGCAAATAAGGACAGCACTGGGCATCTGCTATGCACAAATGCAAGAGGAATTCTGGCTTTAGGCCAGTGACAGACACAGCCACTTTGGAGGACACTCACCAGGCCTCTGACCTGCCTTTTATCAGTGCAGTCCCTCAGCTGTGCCTCCATGGCAGACGGGCTCAGTCACCTGGAGAGCCAACAGTCTTCCTGCCATTCTGTATTCACAGGCTGCACTCCAAATATGTGCCCAGCCTAAGACAGTGGGGATTCCCAGTATAGCCCAGCACCAGCACGAGAAAAGTACCTCCAAGCTCATGCCTTTGAGTAGACCTTTTTAGATCCCTTGGTAGAAGTTTCTAAAGCACAGTTTCCTGCTTTTTATCCTATTACGTTCATAAGCCAATGGAGCGCTTTTATACTCTGACACTCATGGGTTCTCCATGAACTGGAATAGACTTCACGGTAACTTGTTTGATTTTGTTAGCCAGTTCATGTCCCTCTGAGTCAAAAGTAAGTCTCTTGGTTTCTCATCAAATGGAATTTGAGTAGGGCTCAGAGCCCACAGATTGCCCCCGAAGTCCAGGCTATATAGCAGACACACGTTGATAACATGCATGGTGCAAAGGTTGGTATGCTCAGCTGCTAATCTTAAGGTTGGAGGTTCAAGACCACCAAGAACCTCAGAAAATGCCCTGGAGATGGACTTACCTGTAAATCAACTATTAGTAACCCAGTGGAGCACTGTTCTATTCTGACACTCGTGAGGTCATCAGGAGTTGGAATCGATTGGATGTCACTTTGTTTGATCTGTTTTCACCAGTGAAAGAACGAGGCTATGCTGGAGCAATTACTAAATTCAGAAAATCCACCAAGTTTTACCCTGATCATCAAGAAGAAAAGCATACTGGTCAAATCACCTGATCTCTTAATCCCATCGTACTTGGTGCTTCTTTTCTGAACCAAATTCCCACTGCTTTCCATCCACCCAGGGCTTATTTCAGTGTTCTTTCTTGATCCCACAATTTTTTAATATATATCTATATCTACAAAGAAATAAAGGTAAGCTTGGCCTGCCCGTTTTGTAAGGACTCTGACATTTGACAACAGCCTTCACCGACGTCCCAGAGTGTTGCAGCACTGAGTACAGGGGAGAGTGAAGTCAGAGGAGCCGAACGTGGTTTCATGGGAACAACTTCCCTTTTGCAGTCACCTATCAAATGCCTATGGGACAAACTGAGCCCCCTGACTTCAGAGGACTAGACACATCAACCTTCCAAGAGTCAGTTGAGGAAATCAGGGAAGAAAGAGGAAAGTAGAAATTGAGGAACCAGGAACCGTGACCTGTAGAAGCATTTGCTTCTTAATCCTCACATCAGTCCAATAAGGAAGCAGTTATTATCCCCATTTTATGCAAGAGGAACCAAGGCTCTGGGAGGCACTAAGGGGCCAGTGTGACTTGAACGTGGGTTCTTATTCACAATAGATCCAGGTGTGCTCCCTGAGGCTATTCCGGGTCTGCAGCTGTCCCTTTCTCTTCTTTAAGCAGAGAAGCAAGCCAAAGTCCTCGTCATGATTGCCTGGGCTCTCTCCTTCTTGTTCTCCATTCCCACCCTAATCATATTTGGGAAAAGGAAACTCTCGAATGGAGAAGTGCAGTGCTGGGCCGTGTGGCCTGATGACTCCTACTGGACGCCGTACATGACCATCGTGGCCGTCCTGGTGTACTTCATCCCTCTGACCATCATCAGGTAAGAGGGGCCTGGGGGGGTCCGCTATTAAATGCCACTCTCCTCTTCTGCGGGTCACTTATCGGTTCTAGCATCCTGGAGGAACTGGTTGGATCACAGGATTTTATCTGAGGGGACCATCGTCTCAGCCTCACTCATCCAAAGTAGAGTAAGGAAGAGGGAACAAACATGTTCTAAGTATGTATCACCGAGTCTGTGTTGTGTGAAGTGTCCCACTATTAACCACTGGGCAACTCTGTGAAATAACTACTCTTGTTCCCATTTTATAGATGAGAAAATGCAAGCTCAGAGAACTTAACCGACATCATGTTTTTATTTCATCCTATGCAGTCTTTCATTGGAAGGGTAGATACTGTTGAAATAAAAACTGAACACTTTGACACTGATGTGCTAGAGTGGGTGTGCAGTGAAGGAAATGCACAGCCATGGCCAGTATTTTGGTCCCCTGGGGTTACCGAACCAAAATACCACACGCGGGTGGCTTATAAGAACAGAAATGCCTTGTCTCCCAGTTCTGGAGGCTAGAAGTCAGAAGCCAAGGTGTCGGCCATGTTGAATTCTCCTGAGGCTTTGAGGGAGAGTTAGAGACCATTTTTCTCTCCTAGGTTTTAGCAGCTCCAGGCTTTCCTGGGCTTGTTGCTGTGGCATCACCTGGTGGGTCTACCTCTGCCTCTCTCTCTCTCTCTGCCTTTTCGTCTTCTTCAAGGGCACCACTTACATGGAATTAGAACCTACTCTGCACATGATGACTTCATGTTAACCAATAACATCCTCAAAGTCACAATTTCCAAACAAGGTCACATTCACAGGTGTCAGGAGTTAGGATTTCAACATAAATTCAACACACTTTAATCACATCAACAGGTTATGGTAGAGAGCGCTTTTGGGGAACCACCCTTGAGAGAGGACAAGGTTGGGAAAGAGATAGAGAATGTGAGCTGACGGATAAAAGGAGGCCAGAGGGAGTGTGGGTGAAGCGGTTACACCAGCAGGTAATTGCCAGTGGAGGTGAGATGGGCATTAAGCTTCTTCACGTGGCTGAGGTCAGGCTGACTGTGCAGGGCCTTTGAAACCAAGTCACAGACTCTTCTTTTTGTCCTGCAGCCAGCGGCCTCCCAGGAGAGAAGACCACAACATGGTCAAGGCACAGTCTCATTTGGTCATGTAGCAGCATTATCTGCTGAAATGATGGTTCTGTAGGAGTGCCAGAAATTGCAAGCAAGGATCTGGCATATGGGCGGGGTGTGGGGGGGGTGTATGTTGCTCTTCAGTATCCGCCTCAAGCTTATTGTAGTGTGTCACATATTATGCTCTAAGTGAAGGATTAACAGCTATTTTTTGATAATATAAATAATATTATGGATTATATCTACTTACAGTGTAGTTAATGTTTCATACTTTATTAAGGTAATTACATTGCACTTAAACCTGCAAAGGCAGGCAGTGCCAATGGGAGAAATTTGGCAATAAACTTCTAATGGCCGGAGGGAAGTGCAGAATTCATTGGAGTGACATGTCTAGATCAAAGACAATATGAAATAAGGGAGGAGCAGCACGATGTCACTGAAGAAAAGGAAGGCATGAAGAAGTGCACAAGAGTTGCAGACAACAAAGGTAAACGCCATTGCACACATGGCCCTGGATTATCAAACAAGAGGATTCACGGGCCTTTCCTCTCTATGGTGATACAAACAGGAAGCACCCATGACCATATATTTCTACCCAAGTATTGTCTGTGATGTACATATATATAATATGGTTTAATATGCATTATAAAATATGTCTCTGAAAACACAAAGCAAACATGGAAATGTTTAGCCACATCCAGACATTTTGAGGGAATGGTAGGTAAGACTAGGGGCTCAGGACCAAAGTCTTGGAGGACTTCAAGGTCGAGTGGCACCATATAGCCCACAAAGACGATGTTGTACATGCTACTTTGTTGAGTCGTGTTTTTGGTCTGAAGAGCTTAAAACCCCACCAAAGGACTAACGCAACTATGATGCTTTCCCCATCAAGGAAGCACCGAAGAATGGCAAACATCAAAGACACAGGGAAATAATTAGCTCAAAGGATTAATGGACCATGCAAACCTCAGTCAACACCATGATCCTAAGACCGGAAAAACTAGATGGAGCCCAGATACCACTGTTGACCACTCTGAGAAGGTCCCGAATTAGAGTAGGAGAAAAATATGGAGCAAACTTCAAATCATTAAAAAGACCAGGTTTATTGGTCTGACAGACACAGGTGGAAACCCCAAAATTATGGCCCTTAGGTGTGCTAAAAGTCTGGAACTGACCTCACGCCCCTAGTTTAACCTTCAGCCTCACCATAGAAGGGCCCAGAAGCTGAACAGGAGGTACCTATTCCTTAGATCGACTATGTTGAATTAAAGCGGTAAGTTGCCCAGGGAAAAAGCTCAGCAGGTAGGAACAGATAGGCAAGACGGCTATTCAGAAAAGGGAGTGGCACAGTGGTTACACTGTGAGGATTACAGTCAATGTCACAAGCCACGATGTACATAATGTTGAATGGAAAACCAATAGACCCCCACAAATTTTCACTTACATCACCATAAAATGTTTTCTTGGTTTGCTTTAAATTATGGTGCTCATTCTAGCACTTTTAATGCATATTAACCAACTGTCCTTAGCAAAAGATGTATTCCTGTACTCAGCATCCTTCTCCACCTATGATAATGATATCACCATTTCTTTATTAAATTTTTGCCAATCTTATAGGGTAAGATGCATCTCTTTTATGCATGTCTTTGATGATTCTGGTGGTAGAGTGTTTTAAGGATTTGCCAGGAAATCACCCATTCTTGCTATTTACTGATCTTCAACTTCCCAAAATATTCAAGAGGAGACCTACAGTATCCATTCCGTTGTCCGGCCCTGCATTTTCCACAACAGTAGATCTGGGGTGAACAGCAGCTCCCCAATGACTTGCTCCCCATCAGAGGCTAAGCTGCTGCCCCTGACAGCCAGCCCAGTGACTTTCCTGTGATCCCCTCTTGTCCGGTCATCTCAGCTGAGCGAACATGGAACCTCTAGGCTTTATGTCACCTCCCGCCTTCCTCACCACCAAACAGAACTTGGAAGGAAGCTCGAAGGGAAGACGAAGCTTATTTAGACAGGCAATCCAGATAAGTCACAGCAATGTGGCAGTGCAGAAAGGCGAGAGGCAGCGGTGAGAAGCCGTTAGAAAGAAGCAGGGCATCCCATCACAGATCACTGACGAGTATCGATTTCCTGGGCAGCTCAGGTGCTTGCTTCACTCCCGATTGATTTTCCATCAGCTCAGGTGGCATCAGCCCTGCTCAGCAGGGCGGCGCAGTACGTGAACGGCACAGCTCACCATGTCTGGGAAAATGTGTCCCCACTGGTCTTCACTGTCTGTCAAAACGGCCCATTAATTCAGGCGATGTCTTCCACTAGGGCATCTCCTAAACCTGCTCACAGCTCAACTTGTGCATTTTATTTTTTTTCATCAGCATCCTCAGTAAAGGTAAAATGTCAACTCTTTGATGAGTGTACGACAGGATTCCTAAAGCGGGTCTGGCTCAGCTGTCCTCAAATCTAGGCTGTGGGTCCTTGCTGTGGAGCCGGTCCTGACGGATGGTGGTCCCATGCGTGCCCGGCAGAAGCGCCCACGATGGCAAGGCCGTGGCTCTTCTGAAGGAGGCAGGCTGGTCTCCCAAGTTGTCTCTGGGGCGGCTCGAAGCACCAGCTTCCAGCGAGTGTTTCAGCTGCTCACATGCGGGAGCCTCCCCGGGGCGCCCTCATCAAACTACATCCTCCTGGCGCCCACCTTTGCCCTCTCTCACCCCACCCTTTCCTCTTTGCTGCCAACTGGGAGGGAGCCCTGAAGACTCCATTCTGCCGCCTCTGGCTTTGTCAGTGGAGCCTAACTGAAGCATTTCCCGCCTGACAGACAGACTGTTCATCAGTCACGGTCTTCACTCTTCCACCAGCTGTGCCCAGTGAAGCTAGAGCAGCTTTCTGGGGACGGGGTGCCCTCCAGAAACCTCTTCACTCAGAGTAAACGCTTCACTCCAAGCCTAGCTAGACCAAAGACAGCTCTCAGATAGGATACTCTCTGCCCACGCATGGAATAGGGGGTCACACAGACACTCTGTCTCTCTCACATACACACACATATACACACTCAGAAACACACACACACATACACACACACACACACTCACACAGAGTTGACCCTTGAACCACATGTGTTTAAACAGTAAGTCCACTGATACAGCAATCATTTTTAATGCCATGCGACACTGACCATCTCCACAGGAGCAATTTGTCTCTCCGGGAAATTGTGTTTCAAGTAAAACATGATCTCTTGCGGTTCTGGCCCGTTTTCATTCTGTTTCATGCCGTCCTGTAGACCTCGAGGAACACCAGGGATCCAATACACAGTGCCCTGAGTGGAGCTGGGAGCACTCCCAAGAAACAGGGAGGTGGTGGCAGGAGAAGGAGTTGATTTGTCAGCTCTGTGCCGTAGACCGAGGGCCGCGCTCTGGCTGCCTTTTGAGATAACTGAGGTCAAGGTAAGGAGTGTTCTAAACAGAGAGGAATGGATTTGTGGAGCCATTGCTGCAGCTATGTCAAACTCAAAACCAAACTCACTGCCATTCAGTGGGTTCTGTCTCCAGGCTCCTGTCAGACAGAGTTGAACTGCCCCTGTTGGTTTCTGAGACTGTAACTCTTTACAGCATCAGAAAGCCTGGTCTTTCTCCCACAGGGCAGCTGGTGGTTTTGAACTGCTCACCTTGCAATAGGCCATCCAACACAACCGCTGTGCCACCAGAGCTCCAAAATGCCTTCCTTTTAATCTCATAATGAAAATGCAACTTGTATCTGGGTGCAGTATATAATACTTAAAATGACAAAACCAAACCCACTGCCGTCTAGTCTACTCTGACTTCCAGAGACATGGGGATCTGACTGCCTCGTCTTCTTCCAAAGGGAAGCTGTGGATCTGAA